AGTTGATGTGTTAATATGAGGATGCAAACCTTAATAATGAATAAAATGAAAGACATGATTGAAAGAATGGCAGGATTGCTACCTGTATAAAATGTAGAATCAATAGTTTAAAGCTTTTAATAAAAAATAAGAAAGGAAGAAAAGGTGGACTCACTTTTGAATAATGTCTGGCAGAATCGATTTGAAAAGAATTTTGTTTTAATCAAATGTGTTAAACCACTCCAAAAAAAAAAAAAATCATGACTGAGGTTAAAAATCCAGTTTTGGCAGAGACATGCTCTCTCTGAGCTCTTCTAGTTTGGAATAATTTACCTGTTAACGCTGGCAGCAGTAGTTGTACTGTTTTTGTAACTTGTTAGCTGAAGTGGAACAATGAGCAGATAAGATGAGCAGCTAATACTATAGGCATAGTCTTAAATAACCATAGACTGAGTCCCTCCTATCCCGTCTACCATTAACATCTGACTGTAACACCATGGAGGGGCGAAAATGGCGACTAAACAGGGCATTGGCTCACAGCCGTCATAGCAACTGTTAGATTAGCAGCAAGCCGAACTGGGTTTGTGTCACAAATTCTGTAATATTTTCTGGTTGTCATGTGACATCAACAAAACCCCGCCCCCTGACAACAGGACCTTCTTTTGGCTTGGAAAGCTCCATCCCTGATGCTTTTGACCTAATCAGCATCAAATGGTGTCAGAACACAGATAATGAGTTGATCTCACATACTTTCAAGCACAAAGAGTTTTTGGTGAAAGGCGTGGTCATTGCAGTGCGGCGAAGTCAGACATCACGCCGTTGACAAACGTTTGGCCCTAAATTCCACATATTTCAGCCAAATAGCACACAATTCGCTATGGTCGATCCTAATACCCCACTACAGGAATGCAGCACAATTTTTGGGGGGCGTGGCCTAATTCCTTTACAGCACCCCCTACAATTATTTACAAAAGTAGCCACAACCATGCATGGTTGGACCTGGAATCATGAAATTTGGTACACATGTAATGTCTCGGGATCTAAAAACTGTCTCTTGGAGTCCTGGTTCAATCCCCACTGGAAGTCGGCCATTTTGGGTCAAACCTGACAATTTCTTTTCTTGTACATGTCTCTGAGCTAACTACCTTTACAGCTTTGAACATGCAGACTTCACATGCTTCATGCCTCTCTTAACACTGACTGGTGGGGGGATGGGGTGGGTGTGGCAGAGTGGCGAATGCTGATGCCTCACCATTTGTACATGATTAGCTCTAAATCACACTTACATGATCCGATCTGAAACAAATTTTGTGTGCACCATCAGGGAGACCTGCTCAACGCATTAGTAGTTTGATGAGATCACTTCAGCCTCGCCCACTTTGCACACAGTTGGTTATAAATCACACATATATGATCAGATCTGCGATAAATTTGGTGTGCATCATCAAGGAGACCTACTAAACACATTGTGTTAGTTTGATAAGATCACTTTAGCCCCACCCACTTGGCACACAGTTGGCTTGTAATCACATACATGAATCAATCTGCACCATATTTGGTGTGCATCATCAGGGACACCTGCTCAACAATTTGTGCAGTATTTTGACAAGATCAATTTAGCCATGCCCACTTTGCACATGGTTGGCTATAAATCATGACCCGATCTGCGCACAATTTTGTGTTCATCATTAGGGAAACCAGCTAAACACATTAGTCTGTTGGTAAAACAATATTACTTTAGCCTTGCCCACTTTGCACACAGTTGGCTCTTAATCACACATACATGAATCATTCTGCACCACATTTTGTGTGTGTAATGAGCAGAACTTACTCACATTTGTGGGAAAATGAATGTGGTTTCCTGGGTAGTTGGAGTCCGGGGGATCTTGGTCTTCCGTCCCAATTTTTAAGTGTCCATCACAACAACCTTGACCAATGAGTAGATGTTCAAGGTGGGCAATTAAAGAATGACATTGTTAAAGGATCTCAATGGCTTCTCAATATATTTACCTTGGCTGTTCTGGACACCTCCCACACCCAGGATGTTCTTGAATATAGCAACGTAGAAGGTAAGGGAAGAATATTTCTCACTTTGATATTTAGACTGCTAAACCAGCAATGCAGCACTCAATATAGACAACACAGCACACTTAGTTACTGAATCTTTTTTTATGAACTCGTCAGTTTTCTTCAACAAAACTGTAAATAACTAGAGCTCAAACAATCCAACAAGAAAAAAAACTAATTCATTGAACAGTGTCAGCTGGCTAGCTGATTATAATAGACCCAAAGTCCCATTTACACAAGTGTTATGGTACCAAAATACACAAGTCAAACAAATATTAAAGCTTCTGTCAGTATTAAAACCGGAGATCCTTTCTAAATAACTCTGGTGAACAGGGTATAATAATGACAGTGAAACAAAACCAAACAAAAAACTCTTAAGTTTCTCTTGTTCTTTTTTTATGTGTGTGTGAGTTCTGATCCGAATTGGTCCCAGAAATAGTCTAATAGCATAAGGGCCCTTTAAAGCATAAAAAAAACCAGATGCAAGTCACCTGAGTAGTAGTCTGGCCCTTGCCTTCCTACACAGTTCTGCTCAATTCTAGTTTCCCTTCTCTGCTCCGTCTGGGACTTCTCCCATTGAGATGGATTTCACTGGCAGATTTTTAGCCGGGCCAATCAGAGAACAGAAGGAGGAGTTTTGAATGACGTCGATGTTCTGCACAGTGTCTGCTAGTTATTTTAGCGTACAGCAGTGGAGGAAGAGAATGAAGCCAGTCTGTGTTGATAAGGCTTCCAAATTAAATTAAATTTGTCTGACAAAGCAGCAGCTCTCATTTACAGTCGTCTCGTTCGGCTCAGTGTATTTCTCCTCTCAGTAGGGTTGTTTACAGCACAAGCGATTTCTGGTTAGCTTCTTAGCTTAGCCTCCGTCACAGCGACAACACACATGCTTCAGCAGAGGCCATGCCTCCTGCAAGAAACGCTTCTCTATGCATCAAGTCCAGACCCTAGTACGAAGCAAAATGAAGGACAGGGTCTGGTTTTAACCAGGCTACCTGAGTAGAGGAATACCAGTCACAGTTCCTTCTGCACAACTTGGCTGTGATTTATCCTTAGATCCCACTCCTCTCTTCTGCAGCAAATGACTTTAGTGCTAACTTCCCAGGTTAGCTAGGTCCCGATGCACGTACGTTCCTTAGTGGCGGTGGTCACTCGATCAGCGAACGTCTTCAGCAGTATATTACTGGTTCTTTCTGTCCAACACAGCTGCTAAAATCCATTTTCCGCCACTTTTCTTCCACTTCTCTCTTTCGCGCTGAGCAGCTCCCCTCCTTTCTTTTCTGCTTTTTCTGCACTCGGCCCACACTGCCCCTCCTGTCATTGGCCAGCCATTTTTCCTTCCGCTGCTGAGGCTTATGGGTAATGCAGTCCTTTTTACCCCTCTACATGTGCACCATAAGGGAGACCTGCTCAACATGTTGTGTAGTAGTTTGACACGATCACTTTAGCCCCCCGTCCATCTGTTTGCCTAATGAGATTATTTAACTAATGAAGGCCTTTAATGATTCCAACAAAACTACTAACAGTTGTCACAGGCGATGGGGGACATCAGCCATGGTCTGCATCGACTTCTATCTTGTTTTAAATTGTTATATTATTAGCTTCAGCTGTGGTCAGATCACATCCACATCGAGGTAAATAAGAGAAACTCTGCTTACTTGTGAAATGAGACGTTTTCCTATTTCTCTTCAGTTAGTAAATCCATAACACACAGCTTTCTGGCATTATTTAAAACATTTGATTATCTACACTCTAAAATGTTAAGAATAATTTTGTTAATTTATTTAGTTTATTATTACTAATAGTTGTTAAGATTTATACATAATCAGTCCTTTTTTTCCTGCTATGTTGCCAACATATACTGTGATGGTAAATCCAGACTCTTGCTCATTCTGCTTAGCATAGCTTCTACAGTAGATCACACAGTCACATGGTCAAAACTTACTCTAGTTGTTGTACAGTATGGACCTCTTTGAGCTGCTGGAACAAAGGGAGCTTGCTAAAAGGATTTTTTTCCCCCGCTCTCATCTAGACATTTTCCCCACATTGGGTTTTTTCCGTTCCATTTTTTTTCTAAATAATTTGGATATAGGAACTGGGTGTGAGAGGAAGCTTTTCACAGTTTGAGCTTGTGATTCAGTGTTTCCAAATGAGGATGCCAGGTTTATATTAATCTCCATAGTCTTAAATCTACAGAGACAAAATGTGGCTCGTTGGAGTGTTTGAGCTAAAAATAGTCTATTTAGAAGCACTCGGTGGAAATGTGAACTCAAGCCGCAGTATTTGCCCACAATCGTGTGTACACAGCTACATTTATGTTCCAGATCCCGGCCCTCATATTTCCTGTGTGACTGAAATATGAAAGGATTTATTTGTAACTCAAATGCAACGGGCTGTTTCATCATGTCAATGCTAACTGGAAACAGAGGCGCTGAATCAGCCGGGAAGGGTCTTTAGCTTTAGTCATTTCCAGGCTCAATGCATTCATCTCCTCCTATTTTTATTTATTTTACTTCAGTAAAAGCCCCAGAGATGGTAAAAACAAACTGAATCGAGGAGGAGACCTACTCTGACCTATGATGTCATCTCATGCTCTCATTCTGTTACATCCAGATAACGTTTGTGAGGTTTCTATCATTTCCTCTTGTTCTTTAACATTTTTATGGAAGGAGGAGGAAAAGGACAGAAAAGTCCCAGGCATTCAGTGTTTCATTATCGCTGTTTGATCCTTAACAAATAGGAAACATTAATTGAGATGATGTGTTTCACCACCGGGGTTTAGGTTTAATCTTTTAGTAAAATGTTTCTTAATGACTTGAAGTTATGCCTAGATTGTGTGGAGGAAAAAGAAATCTATAACAAATGGTTGAAGTTCAACTAACAACAAGAGCAACAACATTGACTATAATCAGATTAGGTTTGATACACATGCAGTGAGCTAAGTTACCAAAAACGTTCCATTTTAATCAACATTTCCAAAGACTGCATACAGTATGTTTCAGTTTTTGTCTTTATTTTAGCTCGAGCCTCTTTTGCAATCCTCATGACACACTTTGAACTGAATGGCTAAAGATAGACATCAGATTTTCATCACTTGCCTCCTCCTACCACTTCAGTCTACTCAGTGTCAAATACTTACTATTCTCAAAGTCGAACAGCCGGGTACTTTGTCACGTGACATGTTGTAGACAGAGGCTGACATAGTGGTTTGAGGGGGAAATAGGATGAGTTCCTCTACGTGGAAAATAGGAAAAATGGTGAAAAGTTGCTGTAGGATTGCACTTCTCCTGTAAAAAAAAACATCCAGAGATAAAATATAATTTTTTTTCTAAATGCAAGAGTGAGGGGGGAGAAATAAGACACGTGTTGTCGTTCTGCCTCTGCAGACCTCTATACCTCTCCTTGTTTAAAAAGAATTGCCTCCTTGTTTTGATTTAAAACACACTATAACTGGCTAAAATGAAGAATAAACACTCAAAACTACACACTAACTATAAAATCCAAACATGTTAAAAGTCACAGATCTAATTAACAAAGTCCTGCTCTCACCAGCTCTTCATTGCCGCCAATCTCCATTCAAATTTTGCTTCGTTTTAGTTTCTTCTTCCTGTAGAGTTTTTACTGCTTGCCAGATAACTTTGAGCCTTATGCTACGTTCACACCAAACGCGTTGCGCACCTCCAAAAATCTCAAAACGCACGCATCTTGATGCTGGACAGACAGAACGAGAAGCAGCAGCAGCGGGGTGTGGGAGGAGCGTCTGCCCTCGGCGGGTGAAATAAAGAAAAAATAAAAGAAAATGGCTTTGATTTAATTACTCAAGAGCAAGCGAACGTTGCACACAGCAGATAATTAACTCACCAGATGATTTAGAGGCGATTTGTTCAGTTAGTTTCGCCGCTCCAGAAGCTACCAGCTGATAGACCCTTTTTTTTTTTGTCCGGACCAGCTGACCCACATCGGCACTTATATCTCCAGCCAGAGTATCCAACTGCAGACGGTCGATTTCAGGTAAAGATCTCCTGTTCGTCTGTTTCGGTTTAGTGGGCAACATTCAGGAAACTGTCACATGCAAAAATGAGTCTCTCTGATTGGTCGATGCGACGCATCAAGCAGCAAAAGTTCAGATTTTCCAACTCACGTAGTGGACGCTTCGGATGTGCCGGGCGTGCACTGCTTCGAGCCGCGCTGCTCCAAATGCGCCAGACGCGCTGCTCGGCTTCTAGACACCCCTAGATGCACGTCCACCATTGACTTTGCATGTAACCAGATGCTCCTGATGCTCAAAACGTGTTTGTTGTGAATGTACCATCAGTCAAAAAGGAGGTCTGCGCGGTTGTATTATTATTWTTTTTTTTCAGTTTAAGAGAAAGATGAGACTGACGAGGGACAACGGTGTTTTTTTTTTTCACGAGATTACCGTGTTTCCTGCTCCCTTCAGTTGCCGTTTTCCCCCATAAAAAAAGGAAGTCACATGACTAAATGACATCACGTCGACTTTGAGAATCCTTTTTAAATGTCACTTTTATATTGGTGCAATATCTATATCCTTTTATTTTATTGAAGCTTCCTAATTTGCCTCCTATTTAAATTGCATATTCTGTCCCTACAAAGTAAATGTAATTCTTTTTGCATGARTCTTACTTTTACTCCATACTCACATGGCTTCTTCCTTTAAGTGTTAGTGAAGATCCAAGTTGGCGAGCACACTTTTTTTGTTCTTGAAGCCTTGTTCCTTTTAGAACACCTCCTTTCTTATTACCAGAGGAACATCATGTTTACTAGAACAAATTGCTGCACAGAAGAGAGAGGACAAAAGCTTCAGTCAGAGGGCCTCATGTTTGGTTTCTGGTCATGCTTCTGTGTGTCAGCAGCTCGCTCCTGACCCCATTTCCCACTGAGGTCATGCTCCATAATCGTAAAAGCCGTGCCTCAGGTGGTAATTCACTTAAACCTGCAGCAAGATCTCCTGCTGAGGCTGTGATTCCATTAGAGCAGCCCCAGAGTCACGTTTTTTTTAAGTTATTCATTATGGTGATGTCTATTTTTGCTTCATTTGTGATTTGTTTTTTTCCAGTTTGTGTGCACAAGATAGTGTCTGTAAAGACCAATAAGTACTGGTGGGTTTCAGTGTAAATATGTCTGGTGAGGACCCTAGGCTGATTGCAGTTTTAAACATCACAATTAAAAAAGTCCCACAGCGAGTCTGTTTGGGGTTGTTGTATTTACATCTGCAGCCAGCTGTGGGATCCTTTCATTGGGAGTTCTGTTTCTGTCTTCGTCCTGCTTGTGGTGATCTCATGCTGTACTGTGCTTTTCATATGGAGATTATATGTATGCAAACCGAGCCTCAGACTCCTCCACCTCTCATTAGTACGCTCCCCCTCCAGTAAACGGCCCCGGAAAAGAAAAAAACAAACCAAAAAAAAAAAAAACGGACAGCTGGAGTTTCCTGACACCGAAGCCGGGTCATAAGGGAAATAAGGAATTCTGCACATCCGGGCTATTTCCTGTTTGGCCTCCCACGCGTGCACACTCGCGAGCTCGTGGTTGTCATTTCCAACACACGAAGATCTGCTCGGCTCTGCTTTCCTCTGCAGAGCTGACGGGCCCGAGTTCAGGCAGGAAGCGATCCATCATCAACACTGTAATGTAATGCCGTAACAAGTGTCGCTCAGCTGCCGTGTATGTGGTTAGCAGCTTTATTCGCTGGTTGGATTTGCACCTGCTTGGCCTTGCTGTATCCAAACATGACGGCATAGACCCACAAAAACTCTGGTGCACATGAATTACACACAGACATGTCGCTGATCAAAAGAGAGGGGTTAATCCTGAACTGGTACAGTCTCTGCTAGTGGCTGACACCACATAGTGGGGATAACGCCCTCTGAAAACATCAATGGGATTACTTGGGAGTATTCCATCTAATCTGACTGTAAAGGGGGCGGTGGATTGAACCAACCCACTATTGGTTTTAGGTGGCTTACTACTTCGAAGGGATGTTTTACACTCTGAATATCAAGATGCAAATATTTTACAGGGTTTTGTGCACACTCTGTACTTCCTGTAGCGCCTGACCAGACATGGCACGCACCGCTATTCACCACGCTCGCTTGTTTGTTTGTTTGCTTGTTTGTTGGTTGGTTGGTTGGTTTTTCCCTGCCACTGACAAACGGATCACCAGATTAGATAACAGCTCTCCTTTGATTGTGGCGTTCTTGTGAAATTATTCACTCCTCGGTTTGCTTGTGCAAGCTGTACAAATTCAGAGTCCCCTCAGCTGTCACAGATATTAGATAAGTGGGAACACATCAAGGTTGCAGGCTGTGACGTTGGTTTTGTCTACATTTGTGTGTCCTTGTATAGAGTTTGATTGGTGATTTGCATTAACTTTTCATTTCATTTTATTTGATCAAGGACAGCACAATAATCAATGTTACATGATAAAAAAAAAAAAACAAGCAACCATTGCTTTGTACAAGGGTTTTCTAGCCATAGCCTAATTTGCAAACCGAGTCCTTGGTTGGACTTTTAAAATAAAAACAGCTAAAAATAAAATGAAAACAGACCACTCTCTCTCTTACTCACTCCCCCCCCCCCCCCCCCCCAGGGTTGGGCAATATTGGCAAAAAAATTAATCACAAATAATTGTGGCATTTAGCCGATAAAGATTAATTTGATGATTAATCCCCTGGAGTCCCTGGACACCTGTATGTCCTGGTCACATGACCAGTTCAGTGGGAAAGATTTGCTCTTCATAAAATTCTGTTCCAAATTGTGTCAAAATTACACTTAAGGCAATACATCAAATTTTTTAATTGTGTTGATAAGTAAATGACAACTTTTTAAAATGTTCGTCATATTTCAGTGGTCCCCAAACTACGGATCCGGCCCGCCTCCCCATTTGGTCTGAGAGCATTTAGTTTTTTTTTTCATATATGTGTATTTATATTTGATTATAAATTTGGACTTTTGCAATAAAGTGTTCCTTAGTTATGAACTATTTTCATTATTAACTATTATTAGTTAGTAACTATTTCATACATACATGTATATAATATGACATTCTGTTCCACCCTTCTGCGGTCTGTGCCCCTATCTGGCAACCCCCAGAAAAACATCCTAAACCCGCCCCTCTCAAAGAGAGAACGGAATAATGGTGAAAAGATTAGGTAAGAGAAAAATTTATTCAGAATGCAGGACATTTAAGCTGCAGTGGACAAACAATTATTTTTTTGTTCATCTGTCAAGAGGTGGCGGCAGTATTCAGAGAATACAATCTGCGGCGACACCATGAATCCCGTCACAAAGACAAGTATGATAGCTTGCAAGGCCAAATGTGAGCAAACAATCTCTCAAAGCTAAAAGTGGACTGTTAGCTCAGCAGAATACATACTGTGAAGAACCCAGAGAGGTTTATTTGATTGTGCTTTCTGGAAAACAATACATTTTTACATTTACACCTGCAATAGTCACACTTTTTCTGTTACAAACTGACTCCGGCCCCCCACCAGAGAAGGGAAAAGTTATGTGGCCCTTACAGGAAAAGGTTTGGGGACCCCTGTCATATTTGAAGCAGACAGGAGCACCGAGCGGACCGACTGGTGGCATTAATCGTATTAATTGTCAAGTGCCAAAAAAATAGATTAATGTTTTTCTGACAATTAATTGCACACGATACGATTAAGCCCAACCCTACCCCCCCAACACACACACACACACGCGCGCGCGCGCGCACACTCACACTAAGAAATACATGAAAAGATAAGCATCATAAATATCAATTTAAACAACCCAACAAATTAGGCTGGTTTCCCTCAGTGTTCACATACTTTATTTGCTTTCGTTTCAGCCAGTGTTTCACCTGGGAATTAAAAACTTAAATATCTGTCAACATTTTCATTGCAGATGGTAAACTGTTCCAAGTATGAGGCCTCTAAATGAGAAGGAACCAAATGATGTTTTGTATTTTTGCAGGTTGAATGATACTTTAAGAAGGCATATAATGTTTGTGATTATTTAAATTTTTTTATCTAAAGCAGTAAGATAACGTCTCCATTTTTGTCCACTAGAGGGAGCTCTGTTATAATTTTTGATGAGAAATGGAGGATGCTGTTTCATCCTAAACACAGGCCTGCTTCTCACGTGCTACGGTTCTGATTGATGACCGACTTATTATTGGACTTCATTTGTATGTTCTTGGTCCTGAGGTCCACTGGTCTCCCTCTGTATCGGACCTCACCAGGAAAGTGAAGGTGATGGGTGTGTCAGTGGTGTGAGCAGCACACTAGACGCTACACGGGTACCATGTAGTGTCTGGTGTGTGGTTGTCATGGCAACAGGCAGTGAAGATGACGGCATAAGCAGAGGGCTGTTTTTTTATTATTATTATTTTGTGGGTGTGACCCAGCAGTGTGTAAATTTGTAAAAAATAAAAAATGCACGTGGCTGATCTTTCCACTCGTCCGTGTGTGGGTGCAGATGGAGCAGGTGTCCGACGACGAGCTGGACCATGGAGCCGAGGAGGAGGACAGTGACAAGGAGGACCAGGACCTGGACAAGATGTTCGGTGCCTGGCTGGGCGAGCTGGACAAGCTCACACAGGTTAAACACACACACACACACACACACACACACACACACACACACACACACAGA